TGTGACGGTGTCACGCGAATTCCACACGTCTGTGTTTTCTGTGCCAATTTCTGTCCTTCCTCCGCGCGAGGCAAGAACGTAGCCTGGCTCCAGCCTGTGCTGCCCGCGGTTGCCGAGGGGGCACCCCGGAGGCATCTCGCCCCTCGGGCCCTGTGCCCTGCTGTCCGCTGGGCTCCGTCCTGGGCACAGGCACCGGGACCACCTGACCGGGAGCGGCGGGCTGGTGGCCACTGGCGCTCACCGAGGTCTCTCCTCTGCGCCCTCGCTAGCCGGACGGGAGCGTGTCCTGGGGTCTCTGGGGCCCCCCCTCCTGGCCCGGCCCTCTCCGTCCTCCCTCTAGCCCTGCCGTCTCGGTCCAGGCCCACAGAGGTGCACGGTCCCTGCAGACGCTGCATCGGCAGCTCCAAAAGCCTCGCCCGTGACACACGGATCTGATGTTGGCCGCAGAGCCCGCGGAGACGGCAGGTGCTGCGTGGTGTGACGACACGGCCTCCGGGACACGGGAAGGTCACGGGCGCAGGCGGCTGCACGGCTCCGGCTCTCAGGGCCCACAGGCCGCGGGCGCCCCCGGAGCCCCGGGGAGGAGTCGGCGCCGTCTCTCCGGAGTCACTGACACCCCCTGCAGCCGGGGCCCTGCCACCCTGACCCACACGAGGGGAGAGAAACACCTCGGACGGACGGACGACGCAGGCGCCCGGATGGACGCACGGAGGTTGGAAGTCAGGAGCGAGGCCACGGCACACGGGCCCCGGGGACCCTGCGGCGGGATGCAGGGCGAGCTCGGAGACAGCGGAGGGGGACGCCTCTGGAAGAAGAGCGGGGCTCCGGACGCCCGGCCTCGTGCCCCCGCCCTGGGGTCCCCGGCACGTGGGAAGCGGGAATGCCTGGTGCAGGCTGAGGCCTTTCGCCTCTTGCTCCGGGGCTGCTGTGGCCCCAGCCCTGGCCCGGGTGCGTCCCCTGTGACCTCCAGACGGGAGGGGACCCCCCACATCTGCAGGCCCCCGGGACAGGCCTCGGCAGGCGCCACTCGGAGACGGGAATGAACAGCCAAGGAGGACCAGCCACCTGACGAAAGCACTAAGGAACGGGCTGAAAGCAAAACAGACCTTAAAAAGGAAAGGTCAGAGAAAACGGACATTTCTGGAAAGAAAAAGATTTTTTTGATTTGTCATTAGATAGAAAAGGAGACTAAATAGAATAGTGTGACTTACTCTCTCCTTAAGCCGAGAGAAATCAAGGGAACAAGAAAGATCTTTTTAAAACAAAGACAAGGGGAATAAAAAGTTGAGTGAGAAGGTCAGCGTGGGAAGTTGAGGAAATCTCTCTTAACTTATAAAAATGAGAAAAGAGACAGTCCTTAAAAACCAGGGTAAGAATTCCTGGGGCTACCCACCAGCTCGCTGGAGACTCCAGAAGGCGGGAGGGGGGAGGAGCCGAAGAAAGACGCTCACCAAGGAGAGCCGGGGAGCCCGGGCGCCAGAGAAACCGCGACACGGCCCCGTGATGGACACGGTCCCCGAGCAGCCGAGGCAGCGCAAGGGCCCGCTCGGGCGCCTCCCAGATGCTGGAGGCCAGGGCACGGGACACCGTCCCCAGGCTGCCCTGTGGGGTGAGCCTCCTGCCAGGTGACGCTCCTGCCAGGTGACCCTCCTCCTGGTGACCTCCCTGCTGGTGATGCTCCTACCAGGTGACCCTGCCTCCAGGTGACCCTCCTACTGGGTGATGCTCCTACCAGGTGAACCTCCGCCAGGTGACCCTCCCTCCAGGTGACGCTCCTACTGGGTGACACTCCCACCAGGTGACCCTCCTGCCAGGTGACCCTCCCACCATGTGACCCTCCCGCCAGGTAACCCTCCCGCCAGGTGACCCTCCCTCCAGGTGACCCTCCCTCCGGGTGACGCTCCCTCCAGGACCCCAGCTTTCCCCACGGGCAGCACAGCAGCGCCCTGCCCTCTCCCCACACGGGGCTGGGCGTCTTGCAGCCCTAGAGCGCCGGCCTCAGCGTCTGGCCTCAGCGTCTGGCCTGTCCTCCGCGTCTCCTTGCAGACAGGGTGGGGCTGTAACGGCGTCAGCAGGTGTCTCTGCTGCAGGCCCAGCTGCACGGCAGCCGGATCTCATCTCTTGCAAGTGGCAGCTCCACAGGAAGAGGCTGGTGGAGCCAGGTGCGGCAGTGAATAGTAGGATAAAGTGTCGGGGAGTGATACTCGGCTTGCGAGATGCTGCTTGCATCCGGGTGGAGTACTGAGCCCCCAGCACCGCCTGCTGGGCCGTCCGAGTCCTCCGTCCCTAAGCTCTGTGCCCAGTCGCTCCGCGGGCGGCAAACGGCCGGGGGGCAGCACGTGCCACCCTGCTCCCAGCCCCTTGCTTCCTCCTGGGAACACGCCTCCCCCTGCCTCCCGGCCTGCCAGCCCTCCTGAAGGAGGTCCCTTGGGTCAATGACCTGTCAGCCGTCTGCCTCCCCGCTCCCTCCGGAGCCTCCACCTGGAAGCCGCTGGACTTGCCGCCGCCACTGACCTCGGGCCTGGGGGGCTGCAAGCTGCAGGGGCCACAGGTTAAGTGTCCGGTGCCCGGAGTGACCACAGCTAAGACTGTGACTTCCCAAACCCCCGCCCAGAGCAGTGCAGTTTTAGTTAGAGGACTTTGCATGGTGGCCCGCTGGGTCCTTGAGGGAACTGCACTGAGCACCCCGGGTCCCTGCCTCCACGGGGACAGGCTGCACACATCCCCCGTGTCCTCCAGCCGGTCGGTGCCGGGGATCCTCTGGACCTGACCCAGGTCCCCCACGCGTCCCTGTGCGCTGGGCGAGGGGGCTCGTGCTGGAACAACCATGGCTCCGTGGGCCTGTCTCTGCCCCGACTCGGTTTCCAGCTTCGGGGGTGACTCCTGGCGTGGGCCGTCGTCTGCACCCTCGCTGCCCCTCCACGCTCTGAAAACTGAGAAAAGCAAAGGGCAGACGATGGAATCGGGCTCCGCGCGTCCGTGCACCCTGGGAGCCCGTGTTTAAGCGGTTCTGGGCTTCTGCAGGCTCAGGCCCGCGGCCAGCATTCTGGGTGGCCACGAAGGACCCGCGCGCGCCCACTCCGCGGGCTTTGCCTCACCGGTCCCCCCCTTTGCTGCTTTGCGCCCACGCGCTGGGGCATCGCTCGATTCTGATCACTTCTTCTCGGGGCAGGAGGACTCGGCCGGGGAGGTTCCCCGGGAGCAGCCGGACGGGGGGCCAGGAGAGGCCTCTGGGGACCAGCCCCGGTGAGCACAGACCGGGAGCGATGGTGGCCAGGACGCAGGCTGCCCGGGTCAACTGGGCGCCCCCCCAGAGCCGGGGCCTGGAGACGGGCCGGGCCTGCGACAGCGACAGCGGGCAGGGGGCCGACACGGAGGAGGAGCGGGCCCTGCGTCACGGGCCACCAGGACTGTGCTCTCAAGAAGCCGGTGACCCTTCCCCGGGGAGGTGGCGGGTCCGTCCTCTGTGGGCCGAGCAGGCCGGAGCCCGGCTGGGGGACCATCCCGGGTCACTCTGGAGAGAGAACCTGGGAAGGAGCATCCACGAGGCCGGGCGGCAGCATCGGGCGCCCCAGGAGGTGCCCAAGCCCCCGGGACGGCTCGGTGCCCGCCTCCGCCGCCCACCGTCCACCGGGCACAGAGGCCCTGCGTGCCCGCGTTTACCCTGGGGACTCACGCCTTAGTCTAGAAGCAGCATCAGCAAACGCGGTTCACCACGGGGTCCCGGGAAGGGCGACAGGACAGAGACGAGTCGGCCCCTCCCAGACCCTCGGCAGCGGCCGCCGAAGGACCGACCGACCGCTCACCGCCGGCTCCTCGAGGACGACGTGGACGCGCGTGGACTGTGCGAGGATACTTAGCGCCTCCTCACGCGCACGTACCGGGCGCTGCTCATAACCAGCTAAGCCACGCCGTCGTCGGGTGTCGGGCGGACAGAGGTGCGGATGAGCCCCTGAGAGCGTCCCCGTGCCGTGGACACGGTCCCTGAGGCCCTGAATTACGACGGAGTACACACCCGTGCGTGTGTGATGCACACCTGGGACATGGGACATGGGACACGCAGCTGTATTCGTGCGTACGGTTTCCGTGTCATGGGTAACCGGGTGCCCGGTGAACTGCTCGGGGGTGCCAGGGCCCCCGGTGGGTCCCTCTGGGTGGCGGCCGGGTGGGGGGGAGGGGCTGAGCCCCAGGGCAGGTGTGATGCGGCCCAGGATGCGACTCGTCCTCTGTGCACACGGAGCGCGTCAGGGAAAGAGGCCGGGGAGCCGTCCTGGGAGCACGGTGGTCAGACGGGGACCCCGGTCCAGGTGCAGAGCGCGGACCCGCAGGGACGGAGCCTGGGCAGCGGCGGGAAGTCTGCAAAGAGGCTGCACATGGGATGTCAGTGGCAAAGGGGTTTGACACATTCGAGCGAGATCGTGCCCCGGGGGCTGTGTTTTCACATGTGCGGCCGCCCCCGCCCCCCATAATCGACTGGAGGGAGGACGGGGTGGGAGACGGGGGGGGGGACACCCGGATGTGCCCCGAGACGGAACAGCGGGATGGGGCCGAGCTCAGTGTTTGATCCTCCTGCATTTGTGCGTTTAAAATCAGCTCGACTCAGGCCTCGTGTAAGTTGGACACTTTCCACCGCAAGGAAGTCCCCGCAGCCAGGAGGTCACTCCCCAAACCCGCCAGCAGCCCCCGGAGGCAGCAGGGGAGGGGGCGCGGGCTCCCGCCCCAGAGCCCGGCCGCAGCACCGTCACCTGAGGTCCCGCCCGCCGACCCGCGTGTCAGCCCAAGCTGTCCCCAGGCCCCGGCAGACGCGGCCACCCTCGTGTGCAGGGGGCGCCCCCCTCCGCCCGCCCCGCTCGGGATCACATCCCGTTTGCCAAAAGCCCTTTGCCCCCGCGCCCGGGCTGATGAAAAGACGCAGCGGCGAGCGTCGCCCCGGACGGTCTGTGCGGGCTGGGGGCCTTGCCGCGTCCCGTAACTAACGCCACCTTGCGTCCTATCCCCAGCTTGTCGGGATGCCCGCGGGCCACGTCGGCCATGAAGAAGGCGAAGCTGTCGGGAGAGCAGATGCTGACCATCCGGCAGCGAGCCAGCAATGGTGAGCACCCCCCGGCCGCCGCGCGGGGCCCCGGCACCCCGGCTCCGGCTCCTCCGACGCCGCCCGAGCCCCAGGCCCCGGACGGAGGCAGCGCGTCTGCTTGGACAGCCCGGGCGGGGTGATCCCGGCACACCTCAGGGGCCGGTCACCCGGGCTGGGGCGGGCGGCCATCCCCAAACGCGTGGCTCCCCAGAACCCACAGCTGCCCCCTCTGCTCTGCCCCAGGCCCTCTGCCTCCCCCACGCCCGTCCCCTCCCTCCGCACCACCTCCCAGCTGGCCTCCCAGCCCGACCACCCGCAAGCACCGTGTGCCCCCGAGATGAGTGCGGGGACCACGGGGGGGGCAGCGGGGCCCCAGCCTCTCCGTCCTTCTCGGCTCCATCCTCGTGAACCCACCGGCTTGCACGGGTCACCTGCGGCCCCGAAGCCCATAGTGGTGGAGGTTCCGTGGCCACTGGGGCCGTGGCAGAGAGGGAGACGGGTGGCTGTGCTGCCGAGGGGACGACCGGGCCGCGCTCGCCCTGGAAACAAGGTCCTTTCCAAAGGTTTTTAAAAGGGACGTGTCCAAATTTTTGTGACTCCGTTGGTGATTCCTGTTTGCAAGGCCTCCTCGCACCAGGGCGGAGACGCGCCCACGGCAGAGGCAGGGAGGCGAGCCCGGGCCACACCGTGCCGCCTGCTGCGGGCCGTGAGCTCACTTCGAGACTCGACCCCATGTGCTAAGTCTGGTGTCTTTAAGCAGAAACACGCAGGCTTGGGCCTCGACGGGGCGGCGGACGTGGGAGCCGGGGCTCGGAGGGGGGGGAGACCTCGCAGGACGCCCCCTCCCCGGGACCGCCGGACCGAGGGCTCTGCAACGGCTCAGCAAGCTGTGGCCTTGGAGGGCGGGGTCTGGGCCCCTCCGCAGCACCCGGGGGGCCGTGGGCGCAGGGCCGACCGCGAGGCTGGGGCAGCAGACGCCCCGGGCAGGACGCGGACCTGGAGCCCCGGTCCCTGGACCCCTCCTAGGAAGGCGCTCCCACGGACCCCTCGCAGGAAGGCCAGCCGGGCTGGGGCCCCCGCGGCCCCTGTGGTCACCTGACGGCCCCTGCCAGGGCCTGACAGCAGCTCGGGACCTCTCTGCGCGGCCTGCACTGAGCGGCCCGTGAGGCGAGGCCGCCGCGGACCAGAGGGCGGCCAGGGTCCCCACGTTGTTGTCATGAAGGCTCGGGCTCCGGCCTCCCGCTTCCACTGCACACGCTCCGCGCCGCAGGCGAGAAACCGCCACGGACGCCGCTTCCGGAGCCCCGCAAACAGCCGTGTGTTCCGGCAAAGTCCTTGGGCCTGCGGGGCCGCGGACGACTGAGATGTGAAGGCGGCCTCCGCGGGCCGGGGTCGGCGCCGAGCAGGGGAGGGAAGAAGCCGGGCCGCGGATCCACACACCCCGAGGACGGGCCGTTCCCTGCGGCGGGGAGTCGGGGGCACGTCTCCGGGCACCCCCGGCCCCGTCTCTCCCGAGGGGCAGCGGAATCCAGAGCCTTCTGTTGGGCAGCGCTGCTCTCAGGAAGACCCAGTGCTCTCCCGGAGGTGCCAGACGGCTTCGTCCCGCCAGGAGCCGCCCGTGCCGTGGGGGTCTGTGGGGCCACCGTGCGCCCGCCTGTCTACACCCTGTTCCAGGGTCTGGCCATGGGCGGGTCTCTGTTGCGGGTTCCGCTGGGCTCAGGCACGCGGGGAGGAAGCCGCGGAAGCTGGTCCCACCGGGCTTCCTGAGCCCCCGCCACCACCTGTGGTTTCTGGTCGGTGCCGAGGTCAGAGCCATTCCGTCCTCGGGAGCACGATCCTTACAGCGCCCAGGCCGCGGCGTCACAGGGCCTGTGGGGCCCACTCGCGGGCAGGGTGGCGTCCCGGGTGCAGGGACTGCGTGAACGCCCCGCGCCCCTCAGCAGGGTGCCCACCTCCAGGACCTAAGCCTCCGGCTCCTGAGCTGCCCTAGCTCCCCCCCCCCCCGCAGCGTGAGCGCTCACCTGTGACACACGCGTGACCACTGTGCCCGAAGCCCCCCCGCGCCCACACCCTGGCCCGCCGTGAGCGCCCAGCCCCGGGCAGCCCGCCGTCAGCTTGGCGGAGCCGACCACCCGGCCGCTCGGGCTCCAGGCCTCCGGGCTCCTCGGTGCCGGGTCCCTGCTCCGCGCAGCCTAAGTCCCCGGAGCTCCCGCCCGGCCCATGTCCCTGCGTCCCTCAGCCTCCCCCTCGGCCCTGCTCCCACGGGGTCGGCTCATCGGATGCCGCACGAGGTCACCGCGCTTTCTCTCTCCCACGGGATCGTCTCCCGAAGCCGCCGGAGCGAGGAGGGGACGGTCGTCACGGGGACCTTGAGGGGCCTTTACTTTCGTGATGCCGACTGGCGCCAGGGAGCTGACGTGCCCTGCAGACTCGCCGGGTGGCGACGCTCGACCTGTGGGTGGGTTTGCAGCGTGGACGCCCCTCCCGGGTCTTACCAAGTGGCCCTTTCGGCCCAGGTTTGATGGACGGACATCTCAGGCGCCCGCCCGCACGCGATGTTCAACGTGTATTGTGCGCTTTTATGTCTGAGGCCATTTAATTTAGAATAAAAATCTAGAGGACAGCCTTAAGACCGGCACAAAGGAAACGTGGATTTTAGTTCTTTACTATGAGGCCCACGGCGCTGGACCACATGCGATGGTTTTGCTCTTTCCTTTCCCTTTACTGACGTGTCAGCTCACCGCGCGGAGCCAGCTGGACAAAGCCCGTCCACGCCACGTTTCAGGGAGACCCCGGGGGAGCACGGGGCCCACGGACGCCGGGGGGTCGCTAGCCGCTCAGGCAACAGCTGACCCAGCAGGCTTCCTCAGCGGCCACTCGGCGAGCCTCAGGAGAGGCCGCTGTCCCCGCGGGCCGAGCTGGGTCAGAGACGGACCACCGCGCAAGGGGCAGCTCGGGGCCCAGGAGACCAAGGAAGTCACTCGCCACAAAAGTCGTACGTGGGAAGACAAGGGGCCGGGGCCCGGGTCTGTCGTGTGTCAGACCCCAGGCTGTGGCCCCCGCCGTCCCAGACGCCTGCAGGACGGCTCAGACACGCGTCCGCCTTCGGGAACGGTCCAGCCCGGGCCGTGTGCCCTCTGCCGCTGCTCACGTCACGTAGAAGGTCGTCAGGGCCGGACGCTCTTTTGCAAACACCCGATTCCACAGGTGGGCCCTCGGGGAATCCTCGGGGATCCCAGCCATAGGCCGGGGAGACCACGTTGGCCTGGCCAAACCTCTTCTCAAGCTCGCGTTTGCCAGAATCTGGGCCCCAGATGAAGCTGCTGACCTTCCAGGGTGTTCTAGATGCTTCACCGTCTATCTGCCGCCGAGGGTGTTGCGCCCCCGACAAGCCAATTAGGATGACTTCACTGTGATGCGTAGGTCCCCCGCGGACCCCCGGGCTTTGTGGTCCTCAAACCGCCTGTCCCGAAACGAGGTGTTTCGTTCACAATCCCACTCGCACGCTCTCAATGGAAACGCGCCACCTTGTCGCTGGGAACGGGCAGGTGCACGGAGCGTATTTCACGCTTCCTATCAGGAAGTCTCCAAAATCCACGTGTGGATCCGACGGCGGCCTGGGGCCGCACTGAGCTCGGGAGGCGAACACAGGACGGCTGCCTGTGGTCCTAGAAGCGGCGACGGCCCCTGGCGCTGGCGCTGGCACTGGCGCGGGCCTCGTGTTCCGCGGAAACCACCCCACACGCGGCAAAAAGAGGAGATTTAAGACCGTTCAAGCCTAGGACACTGAAGAAATAGGACACGAGGAACTTGCTCGGAAGTCTTAGCGGATGCTCAGCGGGAACAGCCAGCAGCACAGCCACGGCGCGGAGGGACCGCCGCGGCCTCGCTCATGCAGGAGGTGTCGTCCGCGCGCGGCGAACCCTCGCCAGGTGACAGATGGCTTACAAGCCGCGTTCTCAGGCGTGGGTGCCACGCGCGACATGCAGGAGCTCGCTCCACCCGAGGCCTCCCTGGACGTTGCCGCAGAGGTCTGGTCCCGTATGGCAGCGGGGACACAGCCGGCCCCGAGGGAGGGCCCAGCGCAGCGCACTGTCCTGTGAGACGGGACTGCTTTCCGAGATGCATCGATGGCGCCCGAGGAGTTGTACTGAGCCCCGCGACACGCTGGCCGGGGACGCGCACCTGGGGCCTCAGGGCCGGGCCAGGGACGTGAGACCCAGGCTAGCGGTCAGCGGGCCTCGGCCGGTCCCTCTGGGCGGGAGGGTTGGGGACGGTGGGCAGGCTCAGGCTCCACCTGCGGGAGGAGATTCAGGAGGAGGGACCCGCCCCCCTGCCTCTGCAGTGTCCGCGAATCGGCCCGGCCCTTCCCTCCAGGTGGCCGCAGCCCTTCTGTCTGCAGACCCGGAGAAGGGCGCTGCCCTGGGCCCCCGACGTCTGGGCCCTGTGCCTTTCCCGGGGGTTCCCATAAGCATCCCCTGCTGTGCCTGGTGACTGTGTCCCTGGCGTCAAGGGTGACGGCGGCTGCAGGCATCCTGCTCTTCTCGAGGACACGCAGCTGCGTGGCGCCCAGTCGTCAGAAGGACAAAGGGTCTGGATCTGTCCCGCCCTGGTGCACCCACTGCCAGCAACTAGCACCCTGAGCTGGCAGAGGGAGACCTGGTCCATGTGCCCAGCGAGGCCCGAGAGGCACAGCCTTCAGGGCACACACAGGGGCGTACAGCACCCAGGGCACACCCGAGGGCACACAGCCCCCAGGGCAGAGCCTCCAGGGCACACCCGAGGGCACACAGCCCCCAGGGCAGAGCCTCCAGGGCACACTCAAGGATGCACACAGCCCCCAGGGCACAGCCTCCAGGGCACACTCAAGGATGCACAGCCCCCAGGGCACACCCAAGGGCACACTCAAGGATGCACAGTCCCCAGGGCACACCCAAGGGCACACTCAAGGATGCACAGTCCCCAGGGCACACCCAAGGGCACATCTGAAGGCACGTTTTCCGCATCTGAAGAGAAGGGCTGTTTGCCTCCGTTGTCCATCCGGGTCGGGGGCTCGCTCACCTGTGGGCAGCGGTGCGGGGCCTCATTTCCGGGTGACAGACACGGATGGACAGACAGAGAACAGACCAGGGCGGCAGGACATGGGCTGGAGCAGGTCACCACCTGTAGGAGCGGCGGGGCCGGGGCGGGTGGGCTGTCCGGAGACGGCACCCTGGGGCGTGGGGGAGGAGGGCGGCGGGAGGCGCGAAGGACACGCAGACTGTCCTATGTTCCCTTAAATCCAAGGGGTATTTTTCCAGCGAATTCAGTCCCAAATGCAAAAGGAACCGAGAGGAGCGCGCCTCCGCCCGCCGTCTTGCGCCGAGGCCCTAACCGCTGCTGTCGCCCCCACAGGCATAGAGAACGATGAGGAAATCAAGCAGTTAGACGAAGAGATCAAGGAGCTCAACGAGTCCAACTCCCAGATGGAGGCCGACATGATTAAACTGAGAACTCAGGTAACAGTTTTTGAAGCCCGCGACGTTAGCCGCCCGGCCCCGGGGGCGCCCCCGACGGCCTTTCCTTGGGCTCCTGGCCCCCCTCCGCGCCCTCCGTCTCCCGTCCCGCTCGTGTGCTGACGCCAGCGGCTCTGCAGCGGGACGCCCTGGCACACCGTGGCCGTGGGGCCACCTGCTTCCCACCCGCACCCGCTTTAGTGGAGCCCCCGCGGGCCGGGGTCCCCGCGCTCCTCCCGGGACACGGCAGGCCCTAATGCCCTGTGGCCTCTGTGTCCCGGAGACACCACAACCCCCCGAGGAGGGCAGCCTGGCCCCGGGGTCACGAGGCCGCCCGTGCATGGAGGGCGCAGGCCCAGATGCCCAGGAACAGGAGGGAGGGGGGGAGGGAGGGAGCAGCCCTTAGCGAGCACCTACTGGGTGCCTGTTTGCAGGGCTGAGGTCCCACCGTGCGCCCACGATGGCTCACCGCAAGTATCCTCACTCTCACGTTACCCACGCGGAGCCTCCTTGGGCTCAGCCAGGGCGCGTGTGGGAGGCCACAGCTCAGAGCCTCCTGCCCCTCAGCCCCACGCAGCAACCCCCTGCCACAGCGGCTCAGGGTCTCGGGTGTCACCCCCCACCAGCTCGGACCTGGTGCTCGTTCTCGGGGTTCCGGGCCCCAGGCTGTGCTCAGGGACAGATGAGGCCGCAGCCACAGGAGCCCCCGCTCCCCGCAGCCCTGGGAGAGCTTTTGTCCTCTGACCTTTGGCCAGTGCACACATAGCCTCCCTGCTCATCTCAGAAAGTGCTGCAAGGTTGGTGGTCCTGCAGCTGGGCCTCGTACAGTCTCTGGTGCCCTCACTCCCTGTCGGGGACACCAGGATGGGGTGACCCGCGGCACTCTGGGTGTGTGTCCCGTCTGACCAGACGTGTCGGCAAGCGCTCCCGGGGCCACCTGGCCACATAGGGACAGCCCGGGACGTGCACGCTGTGCACAGAGCCCAGCCCTTAAGTGGAACAGCCGCTGCGGGGGACGGGGGTGGGGGGCAGGCTCCCCTGCTGTGCCCCCAGGCCATGGCCCCGCCCAGAAAATAGTCAGAACAGGGGCACTTTCTGGGCCTGCGATGGCGGGGCGGCTGCCCTCGGCTCAGGTCATGGTCCTGGGGTCCGTGGAACGTGTGCCCTCGGCTCAGGTCGGGGGCCCGGGGTCGGTGGAGCGTGTGCCCTTGGCTCAGGTCGGGGTCCCGGGGTCGGTGGAGCGTGTGCCCTCGGCTCAGGTCGGGGTCCCGGGGTCGGTGGAGCGTGTGCCCTCGGCTCAGGTCGGGGTCCCGGGGTCGGTGGAGCGTGTGCCCTCGGCTCAGGTCGGGGTCCCGGGGTCGGTGGAGCGTGTGCCCTCGGCTCAGGTCGGGGTCCCGGGGTCGGTGGAGCGTGTGCCCTCGGCTCAGGTCGGGGTCCCGGGGTCGGTGGAGCGTGTGCCCTCGGCTCAGGTCGGGGTCCCGGGGTCGGTGGAGCGTGTGCCCTCGGCTCAGGTCATGGTCCTGGGGTCCGTGGAACGTGTGCCCTCGGCTCAGGTCGGGGTCCCGGGGTCGGTGGAGCGTGTGCCCTCGGCTCAGGTCATGGTCCTGGGGTCCGTGGAACGTGTGCCCTCGGCTCAGGTCGGGGTCCCGGGGTCGGTGGAGCGTGTGCCCTCGGCTCAGGTCGGGGTCCCGGGGTCGGTGGAGCGTGTGCCCTCGGCTCAGGTCATGGTCCTGGGGTCCGTGGAACGTGTGCCCTCGGCTCAGGTCGGGGGCCCGGGGTCAGTGGAGGCGTGTGCCCTCGGCTCAGGTCGGGGTCCCGGGGTCGGTGGAGCGTGTGCCCTCGGCTCAGGTCATGGTCCTGGGGTCCGTGGAACGTGTGCCCTCGGCTCAGGTCGGGGGCCCGGGGTCGGTGGAGCGTGTGCCCTCGGCTCAGGTCGGGGTCCCGGGGTCGGTGGAGCTTGTGCCCTCGGCTCAGGTCGGGGTCCCGGGGCCCTGGGGCCAGGCCCCACCTCCGACTCCTGCTCCCCCTGGAGTCTGCTTCTCTCTCCCTCTCCTCCCCCTGCTCGTGTGCACGCTCTCTCTCAAAGAAATAAATAAAATCTTTTAAAAATACAGTCAGAACAGTTTGAAGAATCACCTATATTTTAACACGGTCACACGAGTGATTCTCAGCTCTATTTTGTTCTGGGTCCTACGTTTCCCCTGCGCCTCTGCAGCCGGGCAGGCTCACCCACAGCTGCTCAGGGCCTCGGCTCTCGGGCATTTAGGGAGGACGCGGCCTGGGCCTGGGCCACCTGCGTCCTCTCCGCGGGCTCAGGGACCCTTCCAGCGGCGCTCCCTTGGCCTTCCTCAGCGGGCGTTGCCGCAGCCCCAGGACCCGGGTCCTCTAGGATTTAGGGGGGCGACGTCTGTCTCCTCCCCTTCCACCGCGCCTCCCCGAGCAGGGGTGAGCCCCACCCTCCCGCCACTGGGGGGAGGAGGTGCCTGATGGCAGGGAGGCGGGGCCAGGTGTCGGGAGGCGGGGCCAGGAGCAGGGGGCGTGGCTGTGGGGGCAAGGAGGCGGGGCCTGATGACCGGGAGGCGGGGTCAGGGGCAGGGAGGCGTGGCTCTGGGGCAGGGAGGCGGGGCCTTGGGAAGGCAGGATCCTGGGGGTAGGGAGGCGGGACCAGGGGCAGGGAGAAGGGGGCTGGAGTCAGGGAGGCAGGTCAGGGAAGCAGCACCTTGAGAGGGAGGCGGAGCCCAGGGTCAGGGAGGCCGAGCCCAGGGTCAGGGAGGCAGGTGCCTGAGGGGGGAGGCGGGGCCAGGAACAGGGAGGGGTGGCCCTGGGGTAGGGAGGCGGGGCTTGATGGCAGGGGCGGGGCCAGGGAGGCGTGGCTCTGGGGCAGGGAGGCGGGGCCTGATGGCAGGGAGGCGGGGCCAGGGGCAGGGAGAAGGGGGCTGCAGTCAGGGAGTCAGGTCAGGGAAGCAGCACCTTGAGAGGGAGGCCGAGCCCGGGGTCAGGGAGGCAGGTGCCTGAGGGGGGAGGCTGGGCCTGGGGCCTGGGCGCTGGGCCAGCAGCACCAGGACATTTCCGGGGTGTGTCACATTTCTGGCTGTGCTGCCAGCAGGTGCTGGTCCTCTGGCTGGAGGCGGGGCCCGAAGGCAGGAACACCCCTGACCGAGCACAGTTGACTCCCTGCATCAAGTGGGAGGACGCAGGGTGGGCCCCAGTGGAGCTGGCCGCGCGGGACCGCAGGGCCCCAGCAGACCAGGGGGCCACCCGCCTGCCCCCGGAGCAGCTGCAGGAGGGGGTGACAGGAGAGCAGAGGCCGGAGCTGCCCGTGAACCGAGGGCACTGGCAGCCGTGGCCAAGTGGGTGACCTGTGTCACGAGGACGTTCACAGTGTAGGACTTCCTGCGGCAGAGTCAGACGCCGCTGAGCTGGCCCGGGGAGATGCCAGCCTGTCGTCATCCCCGCTCCGGGACAGCAGAGCTTTTAAAATGTTAAATCAAAGTGCACACCGCCCCTGAGCCGCTCCCCAGAAACAGCCTCCCCAGAGTCCCGTTACCCAACTTTCACGAGTGATGAATCAAATGCGTAAGCGCCGAACCCTTACAATGACGGGCTGTCCCCACGGAGGCCTTTTTGTTCAAGCAGAAAGGTTTTCCCTGGGACGCCGGTGGGGGCTCAGCGGTTGAGCGTCGGCCTCAGGCCCAGGGCGTGACCCCGGGGTCCCGGGATCCAGTGCCCCATCGGGCTCCCCCCAGCGGAGCGAGCCTGCTTCTCCCTCCGCCTGGGTCTCTGCCCCTCTCTGTGTGTCTCTCATGATAATAAACAAAATTTTAAAAAGAAGAAAGGAAGAAAGGTTTCGCCGGCCCGGGGCGACGGCGGCCTGCCTTGTGTTACATGTCACTCGAATTTGTGCGTTCCAGATCACCACGATGGAGAGCAGCCTGAAGACCATCGAGGAGGAGAACAAGGTGATCGAGCAGCAGAACGAGTCTCTCCTGCACGAGCTGGCCAACCTGAGCCAGTCCCTGATCCATAGTCTAGCCAATATCCAGCTGCCGCACATGGTAAGTGACTAGGGCGCCCGCCGGCGCCGGCGGTCCTCCGCAAAGCGCAGCGTGAGCTAGAGGCCTGTCCCTGTGGCTGTGTTCGTGGCTCTCCACGCTGTGGAAGTTGGCGGTCACCGCCCCCAGACCGCACGGCTAAGGGCCAGAAGCCTCGGTGGGGCAGATCCCGTGCACCCCGTAAGATGAAGTAAGCTCTGAGTAGGCCGCTCGAGTAGCGTAACGACAGCGGCGCTGAGCTGTGATAGATGCTATTTTATGCTGATGTGAATATCCTATTCAGAAAGTGAAAGTTGTGTATGAACCACTATTTAATATCTCGTAGGATCCAATCAATGAACAAAATTTTGATGCATACGTGACTACTTTGACGGACATGTATACAAATCAAGACCGTTATCAGAGCCCAGAAAATAAAGCCCTACTGGAAAATATAAAGCACGCTGTGAGAGGAATCCAGGTCTGAGCAGCTGCTGTAGTGGCGGGATCTTGTTTGAAAGGGAGCCACCCGCTCCTCTTGCTGCTGTGACTCACCAGAGAGTGTCATATACTTATTTCTGTTTGAAACAGTGTTATGCTTACAAGACTTCATAATGATTTTATGTCTTGCTTTAAAGATAGTTACCTGCAGAATAGTTTTTGAATACATTCACATTTTGTACGGTTTCATATGAGCTGACATAGTGTGACATGCCATGTAACGTTTATAGCTGCTACTGTATGCACATTTGGGGGTATATATATTTCTGAAGAGGTAAGCTGATCAAAATAAATAGAGTGTAAATTCTTTTTAATGCTTTAGTGATTAAATGTTTTAGTATTTTGAACTGAAATGGACAAAACGAAAAAAAAAAAAAAAACCCACAGCTTTGAATGATCATGTGGTGGCCCTGCAGCCACTTTTTAGACATTATCATTTTGCCTCATGTTGGAGGATTTTATGGAATTAAGAAATACATTCTGTGTGCATATTGTTTCATAGCAAGAATTGGTTGCAAAAAATGCTTTATTTTTGAACAATGCTTGGAAATATTATGTGATTTTTTTGTTTGTTTGTTTTAGGAGGATGGTGTATGGTGGGGGCAGTAAATGAGGTTTTTTGCATTCCAAGGAAATGGCATATGGATTAACTGTAAGAGATGAGATAAGTAATTTATTGTAAGACAACATCAAGCCATGGAAATTTGGCAGAAGATTCAAAGCAGCTTAAACAGCACTTTTAAGTTAACTCCTGAGCATTGCATGGTGTGACTCTGGGAACTCCTATTCAGACAGGGGCTTGCTAGAGACGGACCGCGCGAAGATTGCCCTTTGCAGTGTCCGTAGACTCTGGAGCAGCCTACCCCATGTCCCCGAGAGCGCGGTGCCCCTCTGAACCGTCTGTCACTGCAATGGCGTGTGTCTCACAGAACCTGTGTGCTCTCCTTTTAGTTCAGAGCTAATTTAAGAGTATTTATTTCCCCTCTCTCCACTCTTAAAAGCGATCACTGTCGTTGTTGCTGTGACTTTTCCTCCTCGGCCGGGGGATAAGGCAAATGGTGTGCGAGTCCGCGAGCTACTGCACGCGCTTTCTGCGGGGCGGGACGCCCGCCGCCGGCTCCGAGCGGCCGAGCGGCCGCCCCGTCCGTCCCGTCCGTCCCCGTGTCCCCGGCAGAGTTGCTCGCAAATGACCTTCCTGTTCCAACTCCCCTTGGAGACCAGGTGACCACGTGGCATTTGCATAGCCTTGCCCTTTGATTTGTCACGACCTATTCTGAGAATGAATGCAATCAGATTTTAAGAGTAATTATCTATACTTGAGCACTTTTTTTGCTTTACACTAGATCATCTTAGACTTGCTTACACTTGGAGATGGGATTGTTTTCTTCCAGTGACTGCACTATATGTATGCATACGACCACTTTTGATTGCCACGTCCCCCTTCTGAGTAGTCCCTAGGACGGCGTGTTGTGTTTTCTGGTGTTGACTTGAGTTACATGTGACAGCATCTCTTCCTTCCATGTCTTGATGTTATGCAGGAAGTACGGAAGTACTTTAAAATTTTGTTATGAAAAAAAAAAAAAAAAGATGGGTTTTGTAAAAATAAAAAAAAAATATTTTTAGCAGAACAGGACTTACAGGGTCATTGTCCCCACAACGTGCCAGTCGACTATTTGCACTTACCTTGTCCTATATATCCGTACGGAGGTGTGCAATTGCTGGGGTCAGCGGCCTCGCGAGGCTGACCCCGGGAGGATGAGGGGAGCCCTCACGGCTGACCCGACGATGTTGCTACGGGAGATTACAGGGATCTCACAGCAAATATTCTGATACAATACTCAACCTCGGTGTATATATATGTATAAATATATGTACATCCCAGCGGCACTTTATACTGCTCACTGTACAAACGCTTACAGTTTTCCACGAGGACTTGAATAACTAGCTGGGACAGATGATGTAATTCCCCGGGGCTCTGCAGCGCCTTCCCTGGAGAGCTCCCTCTTTCTGTTGTGCGATTAGTTGTAGCTGCCATGCTCAGAATTGCCTTTCGAGAGCTGAAGCAAGGTGCTTCTTGTCACCTGATGCCATATACCCCGAGGGGGCCCCCTCCCTGCAGGGCCCCCGTTGTTCATATGGGCATATGCATTTCCCCGCCGCGTCGTGTCTGCAGCTTCTTTGCCAATATAGTAATGCTTTTAGTAGAGTGATAGGTAGTATCAGTTTTGGATTCTTCTTGTTATCACCTATGTACAATGGAAAGGGGTTTTAAGCACAAATCTGCTGCTCATCTAACGTTGGTACATAATATCAAATCAAAAGTTATCTGTGACTATTATATAGGGATCACAAAGTGTCACATATTAGAATGCTGACCTTTCATATGGAATTATTGTGAGTCATCAGAGTCTATTTATTATAACTTATTGTTCATTATCATTTCTAAGTTAACTTAAGTAATCATTTATTAAGACAGAATTTTGTATGAATATTTACTGTGCTGTCTGTGGAACCGAAGTTTCATTTATTTTTGTACTACACGGCATGGGTTTGTTGACACTTTAATTTTGCTATAAATGTGTGGAATCACAAGTTGCAGTGATACTTCATTTTTAAATTGTGAACTTTGTACAAATTTTGTCATGCTGGATGTTAACACATCTTACTCTAAATAAAAAAGGTGTTGCCACATTTGTAGCACGATGGATCTCTACCCCGGGTCTGCGTCTTCACTTGAGTCTGGGCGCCCGAGGAGCGCCTCGCCCCAGAGCCGGCGGCTTCGGTGCCGACGTGCGTCCCCGCGGGTGCGCTTCCCTCCGGGGAGGCCCGGGGCGGACAGTTGCTCGAAGCCCCCAGCCACCCCCCCCGCAGCCTCTGCCACATTTGCTGTCCGCCCCGGCCCCACTCACGTGAGGACACGTCACGTCTAAAAGCAGGTGTCTCCGCAGAGCAGGGTCATCCTCCGACACAACCACAGTAGGATTCCCAAACGTGATGCGACGTCCTCCTGGCAACCCGCGTGCCTGTCCAAGGCCCCAGCGGAACAGTGATGTCCCCTGGTCTGATGTCCCGAGGGGCGGGAGCCCGCTCCCAGCAATCATGGCCCTCGTCCCTCGTCCCTATCTCCCGAGCAGTCCCTGGGCCTTGCTCTGTCCCCCGGGGCAGGGACGTGTGTCAGGTGTCCAGGGTGGGTGGTGTGCAGACTCCGCCTTGATTGATCGAGTCTGACGGCCGCGGCTCCGGAGCTCAGGTGCCCCGCACGATGCCCTGTCGCTTCCTGCAGCTCACTTCCGAGGGCCCACGTGGTCACTCGCACCCATGACCCAGGGTCACTCGCGCTCCATCACCCGTGGTCACTTCCAAGCCACCGGCCAGGACCACCCATAAAACTTGAATTGCCCTTCAAATGTGATGTATCAAGGAATTACCCACTTTCCCTTCATCTAGGCTAGTGAACATCACCCTTTAACATTCCAGAAACACCCGCCTGTAGTAGCCACAGTCCCTAAAAGACAACATTTGAGGAAAGGCCCGGTCATCTTTGTTAAATCCAAAGTGTGTCCCCAGAGGGGTCCTCTACCTTCCCAAGACTGGAGGTCACCCGCCGGCTGGGGCCGTCTGAGACCTTACAGCCTCATCACGGGGTCGGCCGCGGGTGGCAGGGAAGGCCCTGCCCGAGGACCACACGGACTTACCGCAGAAGGTGGCACGTCCGTTAGCCGCCGCCAGTGACTCAAGTCTGTCCTCCGAGATAACCAAAAAGCTGTTTCGTCTGAGGAGCCATGTGGCTCGAATTGGTATAAACAGGGTGGCCCGGGGGGGCTCAACGGTTTAGCGTCGCCTTCAGCCCAGGGCGTGACCCCGGGGTCCCGGGATCGAGTCCTGCATCGGGCTCCCTGCATGGAGCCTCCTTCTCCCCCTACCTGTGTCTCTGCCTCTCTCTGTGTGTCTCTCATGAATAAATAAATAAAATCTCTTCTTTAAAAAAATGAGTTGGTAAAACATTCTGGAAAGCGATTTAGCCTTCCATCATGTCAAAGACCTTATAAAATTCAAAGTTTTGACCCAATAATTATAGAAGCCTACGCTAAATACCAAAGCAGTTGTAAATGCACTAAAATTAATAAAAACCCCAAACATCTTATTTTAGAGGAACGATTAAATGATTGCTGAGAAATGCACTTTCTAGGGTCCCCTAGAGTCGTTAAACATTGGTTAAGAGGCTCCTAAGATGTCTGTGACCCCATCAGTGAGTCGCACAGAGGGCAGAAGTATAAACCACTAGGGAGGGAGGCGGCAGGACGTCCCCGAGCTCCGGCCCCTCGCCTGGGCCAGGCGGACCTCACGCCTGGGCCCCCAGACCGGAAGCCCCGGGCCGCGGGGGGCGGGCGGAGGCGGCACAGCCTGCGGAGCCCACGGAGGGGTGCGGGGCCCAGCCGGGCCGCCCTCCCTAGCCCCGCGCCCCGCGCCCCCGGCCGCACTGCTTCTCCCCTGAAACGGCTCTAAGTGGGCAGATGCCGCCTTGTTTTCAAGATTTAAATTTAAAAAGTACTTTTGGGGGATCTGCCGTGAAGCACTGTAACCTCCTGACCTAAACCTCAAGACAGATCGGGCGCGGGGTCGCAGGTAACACAGGCGGGCGGGGGGGGGGGCTATTTGTCCAAAGCAGGGGCTTTAACTTCGGAAAAACCAATCCTTGACCCATTTGTCCGTGGAGTTGTCTTCCGGTTTGCGTCAATAAAAGGACCCCATGTCTTTACACCTGGGGCGGGGGGCGGGCGCCCCTTCAAAGGGGAAGGGGGTGCGCCGGGGGGGCGCAGTCGGTTGGGCATCTGACTCTTGGTTTTGGCTCAGGTCGTGATCTCAGGGCCTTGGGACCGAGCCCCGGGGCAGGGGCGGGGCAGGGGGGTGTCCGTGCTCAGCGGGGAGTCTGCTTCTCCCTCTGCCCCCCCATGTGCTCTCTCCCTCTCTCTCTCTTCCCCCTGAAATAAGTAAATAAATCCTAAAAATAATAACAATAAAAGAGGAAGGGGGACCACGCACTCATCCAGAGACAAACTGAACACAAGGGTGGGTTTGTCCGTCTGCGCAGGAGCACGGTGCCCTCAGCACGTGACCAAAGCCCGGTGGCAGAGCCGAGGTCACGCTCCCCAGGGATGGTTCCTGCAGGACACAGGTCACGACGGGTGGGAGCTACTTTTCCGCGGCTGTCGTTCCCTGGATGGCTTCAAACAGCAGGAATTGACTCTCTCCCGTCCCGGGGGCTGGAGTTGGAGATGCAGGGGGGCAAGGCTGCGCCCCCAGTGCCCCCGGGGGAGGACTTCCTGCCTCTCCCAGCCTCCGGGGGCTGCGGCCACGTCTCTCGTCCCTCCAGGTCCGTCTTCACGTGCTGTTCCGTGTGTCACCTCCCACCAGGACGCCAGCCGTCAGGTGTCGGGACCACCCCAGCGGCCTCGTCTCCCCCTGACCACCTGCAAAGACCCTGCTTCCCATGAGGTCACGTTCCTGGGTCCCAGGGATCGGGTCTCCGCCCATCTTCTGGGGGGACGTGATGCACCCCGGTGCAGTAGCGCGCCCCTGCCGGTGTGGACAGTCGCCCGGGCCGTGGGGCGAAGAGCCTACAGGTATCCGTCCTGCAGCTCATTAAACTCCACGTTGGCGGATGGTTTCGAAGGGATGTCTGGTAGTTAAAAGGGTCCAGAAGCAGCGTGAACAGAGATTGGCCTGTTACGAGAGCCGCTGGACTCTGGCTGCGCCCTGACGCGCCCAGGCCGTCGGTGGGGTGGCGGTGAGGACCGGCTGGCTTGTCCTCTGAAGCCACGTGGATCAGGCCTGGGACGGCGGGTGGTCTGTGCTCACGGACCCTCTCGGCAGGTTATGCCCCGTCAGTGTCCGTCCACCTGGGCCCCGAAGCCCCCTGCCCGCTCTTGATGCGCCTCCACGGAGAAAGGGCCACCGATCCAGGAACGGGCGGCCCCGTGTTCCCAGAGTCCTGGAGTCCCCTTCCGGCAGGAAGGGCCGTGCCCGCACCCGGGGCTCAGCGGGGCCGTGACGGGGGCGGTGGGATGAGGCCTGGGTGATGGGCCAGGAGGCGCCGTCCCCGGAGCCGGGCCCCCTGGACTGTCTGCTGCGTCGGGGTTCCGGGCCATCAAGCGCGGGGAGGGACCCCTCAGGCGGCTCTCAGGCGGCGCGTTTGCGAGGACGGACGCCCTGGAACGTTGTCACATCACAGTCACGGGTTGTCACCGGGAAAGGACACATTAAGTCAGCCGGCGGGGGGGGGGGGGCAGAGGCAGGGCCCGCGAGAGGCCAGGCACAACTGCCTGCAAGTCCTCCGCATGGCCAGACCCCCAGCGGCCCGCGGACCAGCTCCACGCACGCTTACTCCTGCCCCAGCAGCTCACTAGCCGGCACCGCGTGTTTCCAGGTCTGCGTCCCCTCTGGGCCGTGTGTGCGTCCCCACGGCGGCTGTGTGACCAAGGACCCCGAGCTGGGGGACAGAAGTTCCAGCACGAGGTGTGGGTGTGGTGTGGGCAGGGGCACGGCCCCTCGGGAGGCTCTGGACGTGGCCCTGCGGGCTTCCTGCAGCCACGGGGGCCTAGGCGGGGGTCTCTGTGCCGAGGCTGCCTCCGCGTGCTGTTGCCGGGTCCTCGGGGACCCGGTTCCCACCATGGGCAGAGCTTCTGTTCCCCAGTGGGGCCACATCCCTGGGTACGGGGTGGGGGTGGGTAGGACCACAACATGTCCTTTTGGGGGTCCCAGCGCTCAGTGACCCCGCGGGTGCAGGAAGTGTGGTCACCGTGAGTACGTTTCTCCGGGCCTGGCTCTGCGTGGAGCGCGCCTTGGGTATGAAATCACGACGTTTCCACGTCGGGACAACCACGGTGACCAGAGATGGCCACAGGCTCCGGAGCGCGGGTGGGCCCTTCCTGCCACTGCGGCGATGCGCTGACTCTCGGGCTGGGAGCTCGGGCGGAGAACCCGTGGGGCACACGGGAGGCCTGGAGCCCCCCTGCAGACGGGGCAGGTGCGCCCTCCCCTCGGCTGGGAAGGTTTAATTCCTCCGGGAAGTCAGGGGGGGGGGGTGGGCAGCAGAGAGGAGCTTGAGCTCCCCACCCCCGGGTGCGCAGCCCACATCCGCCATCCCCACCCTGCGCCCGCGGCTCCGTCCCACGGACCGGGATCCGCACTTCGGAAGGCTCTGTTGGTCCGAAGTCGGGCAGCAGGTGGACGTGGGCCAGCCCACAGGGGGGGTTCCCCACGGGAAGCAGACGGCGTGGGGTGGCCGGGCCTCCCTCCCCGCACACCCTGCACACCCGCTGCCGCCGCGGACCTGCGGGGTCACCCTGGGCGCCGTCAGCCTCCCAGGGACCGGCCCCCGGCCGCCACCCTGGGTCCCTCGGGCAGGGACCGGGCAGTTCTGGCTCCAGACGGGAGCTGAGCCTCGAGGCTGGACAGACGGACTCTGGAAGTGATCCTCGTTTCTGGGGCAGGGTCCTGGGATTTCCTGGGAAGGAGGCCTGCGCCCCTTGGCGAGTGGAGCTCATGCACTCCGAGGCTCCTGGCTGCGGGGTAGGGTGGGCTTGTCCGCGGCGACTGCGCACAGACTGCAGGAGATTAGGAAGCATTAGTCACCCGCTGCGGCCACGCTGGCCGGGAGGCCCATGCTATTGTTCCTGAGTG